CCTGTAGAGATGAAGTAGCGGTGGTGGGAGGGCATTTAGTAAAGTCCAAATATCGCCCTTTGGGAGAGTCGTCGTGGTGGTGTTAGTAGAGGGAGAGGAAGGTGGCAAGAGATGTTGGTCTCGAAGGCGATGTGCAAGCCTTCTATACATTCCTCGCACTTCCTCTGGCTAACTTCTAGCGAGAGTAAGAAAGCAAAAGAATAAATGAGAAAAATTTATAAGGAAAAGAGCGCATCTACTTAATTGTTGCAAGCAGCTGTGGAAGTTTAGTGGTTGTAATGGAAATGTTATGAGTTTAAATGTGGTTATATTAGTATACAGGCGATATTGAAGAATTGAAATTGGGAATCGAAAACAGGGGAGAAGAAATTGGCAGGTGGATGGAGTGAATGGGTCATTGAAAATCGTAGTGAATGAGGTGGAAAGCGGAAGTGCGTGCGAAGTAGGCGTGACGCGAGAAAGAGTTGTCAGAAGGGGAGAAGGAAGGAGAAATAGGGAAGGAATGTGAAGTGAATGGGAAAGAACGGAAATGAATTTTACATTCGGTTTGGGTCAAAATAGCAACAGCAGCATTGCTAATGTGGTGTAGTTGCCCTGACAGTGGCTGGTAGGTCAATCGGGAGGAATGTGTGGATCCTATGTGGCAACACTGGTTGCCATCTGACTCAGAGTTTCTATGCTTCTGCACGTCTTATCCGTCAACCTGTGTCACGAAGGAACGAACGATGTTAGTCAAGGTGGTCTTCCAGCTCCGAGCTAAACGCGCCTTCGAGGCCTGCAGTCCTTGAAAAAGCAGGAAAAGATGTTGTTGTTGAGGGTCGAGATTAGAAAAGATTGCTTGGGAGTAGATTTATTCTGTGTCTAGACCTTGCCATGGAGGCAGTATTAAGTGTCAACTTCTTACCGACTCCTACCAGCCAACAAACACCACTTTGAACGCGACACAGCCATAGTGTACTGAAGAATAGGAACATTATCGGTCATGCCTGCAGTCGAGTAGATGAGGAAGTTGGACGTGAGAACTAAACGAACATGGCATAAACATGTTACAAACTCTCTCTACCGGTTGCCAAACACTTTGACTAACCCTGACATCCATCTTTTACCCAATCGACAGGTGCGGATATGCGCTACGGCGCGTTGAATCGGCTAATGTACTATCGCAACACCGATTTTCTGGAGTTCACCCTCCGAAATTGTTTTTCTGTACGCTGTTAAAGCAAACACTTCACAGTGGATGACTTAGGCTAGCACTTGCATGTACCCTGACGCCTACCTGTTGCGACTCTTTATTGACGAAGAATGTCACTCTTTGTTTTCTTTCACAGCCTCTTTTCCTATACCGTTACAGAGGAAAAGGACAGTAACATATGTAGTGCTGATTTAAAACTCAGTGTTCGTTCTTCAGGTGCCCTTGATTGTCAACAGAAGTGGGATCCTGAACATCAAAATACAGTGACACTCTCTGGGCGAGTGCGTGCCGTACAAGCAATGAATCAGGATCAAGGTTTTGGTGATGAACACACCCACGACAGAAATGCAATGATGCCAGTCCGGCTGAGTCAGGATGCGTGAGATTGTGAGCACTGCCCCCTACATCACGCTGAGGGCACAAGTGGCACAACTTCAAGTTACTGATCGAATTTCTCTTGCAATTGATACGGCGTCGCCTACGCCGTGATGCTTCCCTCTTTCGAAGTAACTCATCGTCATGTTATGGCCGTGTAGCTGTGGTGTAACTCGTAGCATCAAAGTGACAAGCGTAAGGCAGACACTCAGTGGGTGAGAAGAGATGTGCAAAGAAGCAAGATGAATGCACATTTCAGGCTATAATCGTTTGATGTGAGGAATCTGCTGCTCTAATGTGATATTTAATTAACTTTCAAGAAAATGCTGTTCCAAGTGATTGACAAATCGCAGCTGCAATGCTGGTTGCTGGGAGAGAAAGCAAATCCCAATGGTGCGTGCAGCATTTTGAACATCAAATTAAAACGCCTATAGATACCACTCACGTCAAAATGGTTTCTGGAACTTTTATTCTGCCTCATTGTAACTGCTGATTCAAAAGAGTAAATGCGAACGCGGTCTCATTAAAGTCCACGTTAAAGACCAGTTGCTCGAGCGGTCGTCGTAGGCATCACCTACTTTACAGAGTTTATTTTGTATAGCATCAAACCAGTTGAAGCGAACTGAGAAGCAAAATATTTTGCCGTCACCGTTCATGGGCGGTTTAAGAAGGTGTCTCAACAACAAATCATTTTTGATCTCCCGTAGGCTAAGTGGACGTTCAAAATGTGTCGATAGCGAGCGCTTTTCGTGGGTGCCACTGCTACCACCATTGTGGCTCAGTCTGAGGATACGAAAGCCCACCTGTGTGTCATGCCATCCAACTTAGAGTCAGAACAAATCCGACAAAACTCTATTGACTGAATTGGCCCAAAATTTGGCAACCACATCCTGGCCGCTACTGATGGCCAGTCGCCCAATCATAGTTGTGACATATAACTCATAGATTGATTATTAACGCCTTTAAATGATGTGAGGTGACTTCACCCCAATCACATGTCTGAAGGTGATAGCGATGCCAACACTAATATACATGTCTTCTGCAGTCGTCAAAGGAGCACCAAGATATCTCACAGAGATGAAG